GAAGAATGAAAGGTTTTTCTGTCGACACAAATAATTTGTATCCGGAAAATAGAATCCATGATTTTGTTTGTCTCTATGCTTGCGGCTTCGGTTTTATCCCCGAGATCATTTAATTAAACATATACATTCGTCTTGACAATAATTTGTGTCGAGAAAAATCACAATGGGTATTATTTCAATTTATATCAACTTTAAGAAGTAATTTTGCTGTAATGCAGAGTATGATAACTAATTTTAGGTGAGAGATAATAATAAGCATATCGCAATGCAGGCGTAGATGCGAGAAATGCCCCGTATGATGAGCTGCCGATAACGCTCCCTGCTGCTAAGGAAACGCCCTAGCTGGTCTTGTTTAAATCCATCTCATCCACCCTGTGGTGCAAACGCCCTTTATGCTACTGAATTCAATGTGAAATGCTTTGTTATTCTATAATTATTTAATTAAGAATTGGGGACAGTTGTTATGAATACTAAAACCGCCATTAGGGAGTGTTTGTAATGCATAAGATGCTTTCGGTGATGCCTGGTTTGTACTCGTAGAAAAAATGTACATCCGCATACTATATTTTTATACTACTGAACCGTAAAGAGTAATCTCAATGTGTATACATACTATTAATGACTCCATTACAATCAAAACAATTATAGGTTATTTGTACCATCACTATAACGCATCCGGAGTAGAGCTTAAATTGTGAGGTGTTATTAAAAGTGACGTATACGCATCAAAGGTTGTTAGGTCATGCGAACTTTCCTGCATGCGAAGGTTGATGCCAACAGGATATCTGTTGTTGGAGCGCTATTGATACTTAGATTAGTCTGTCACGCTACCAATCCAATGTGACTGGAACTGCATCTCCAACATACTAATTGACTATAATCTGTTTTTGCATACATATTTATCATACACATTGCATGTCGGAGTCGACATAGGTATTTTACGTGGGCCCACGTTTCGCCGTATTCCGTCATGCCGTTTCATCATTTTCTCAGCATTGATGATAGTTGAGTTCCAACCAATTTATTCTTGTGCTTGCGGTGGCATGTCGTGTAATTTTCATGCTTGTCATAAGTTGTGGCTTAAGGGCCGATGCTCCAAGTATTCATTCATATATGGGTCTGTGTGAATAAGAGTAGAATTATAGACGGCTCACATCAATTCTTCACATGCCTGGCAGGATTTTTAACACAGGGAAGTTGGAGTATCGCCTTATTTATGGCGTCAAAGCAAGAATAGATGTAAACATCATCGTAGGTAAAGAATATTATTCGCTTGTTCGTATTTGCACATTAAAGGCTGCAAATTTTACCGTACTGCTAAAATTTATTTCGCGTGCTATTGTTTATGGTACCTATACAAACCACACCGCGGGCGGAACTTGATATGTATAGCTTGTTATAGCATGACGTAAATCGCGGTTTAAAAGTAGTTTTTAAATAAAAATCTCCCCGTATTTATGTTAAGGTTATTGCTCGTGTAATGAACCAAACCGCCTATAGTTGACTTTCAGGACCTACAAATACTGCTCTTCCTCTTGCAACTGTCGCTCTTAGCTAAGCAATTGTCGTATTCTCACCATTGAAAATCATACCCGAAATATTTTTGGCCAACTGTCTGATGATCGCTAGTTGCATGCCGCCAGTATTCATTGTAATTTTCATAATGACGGCATTCATTTTTCAGCAATGACACTGAAACGCTGAATTTGTAAAATTGTCATTCATTTGCGTGTTCACGAACTGTCAGACCACTATTATGCTGTCGTAATTGAATTCGGTTCGACAATAATGTATTGTAATTTCTCAAATGCATGCCAATCTCTATTATTCTAACGTAAAATTTTACATCGTTAAAATCCTTACCAGCATATAGAAGCGCTTCAAGATTACAACTACATTATCCATTCAACTTGAACGGTACATGGGTATGAATTTGTATTCTTATTGTGTTCACAGCGTTTGCGAACTATTCAATTATAGAAGTTTATTGTAAAAATATATATTTTTCATTCAATCATTTATCATTTTAAAAAATGGAAATCTGTCATCGATTTATTTTGAGTACATTTTTTAATAAAAAATTTGAGTAAGATGGCGGTTGATAAATTTTTATAAAAGTAATTTCACAAATCAATAATTTTATACGGTACTTCTTTTCAATAATTGCGATCAATAATAATAATTGATAATAACAATCGCACATTAACGTTTTCAATACATCTAGGGTATTCATCGTTGTAGGTATTGCTCCCAAAGTCCCTTCTTCTAAAGACTAAAACATAGACGAAACGTCTTCATTGCTCAGAACTTGGCAAAGGCTACCCTCAGTTTTTTCCCTCGGTTGCTCGGCGTCTCCCCTCGCTACTAATTTGCTGTTGCGTTATGAGATAAAGCTACCCTCACGTATACATGGCTTGCCGTCGTGGTTGGGTGAGGAGCTATTCATACGTGTATGGTGAGCAGTTCTGCTCTCGTGTCACCTCTAATGCACATGAAGATCCGTACGTGGATACGTTATTTCTTGGTTCGACGTGGTCAGTACTCTTATTCACTCTAGTGATATTCTTTATTAGCTCATGATGCTCCTGCAAGCATGCATAATGGTAATACAAGTTTGCTATTCAATGATTAACTTATCGAACTATTTGTTAAGATGCAGCGCATATTTTCGGTTCTTCTTGCTCTCTTTTTGTGTACGCTTGACACCTGCACCGCGTGAGGCAAATTCGGGGCTCTTGACTCTGAATAGCTTTATCTCGATATTATGAGTAATTTTTCATGGGTATCTCGATCTTATAAGTCAAGCTACACATTGGTCTGTTAAACGAAGTTTCATGTAGAAGTCGAAAACTGTAGTATTTAACCTTTTATGAGGTTCCAGTCGTGATCAAAGTTGATCTTAAAAGAGTCTACCCTTGCGGAAAAAATTGAAATGTATCCATACAAATAATAAAGTTTTTTTTTACTAGTTTGTTAAACAGTAGAAATCATTACATGCTAGACATGACTCATGAGATATTTAATTTCTTAGTTAAATATTCTTGGTGCCTTATTTTCAGAACACGAATCTCATTATTGCTCAATTATGGCACACCAAGCTGTCCTTGCGATTTGCATTTGCTTCTTATACAACAGTAGCATTTCATTGCGTTGGTGCCTGTTGAGTAAGTGTTTGTCTACTTTTGTGCTCAAACGAATAAATGCACTTGAAGAGTAGCACAATTATTCCACCATTATTTTTTCATGTCTGTTTATTTTTTATATTTTTTACGTGTTATGGTCGAAAATTACAAGTAAATGACCCATTCGAAGCGCCACCTCTGACGAGTTGTACGTGAAATTCCCGTCGCGTCCGCCGTGTTGTGAGAAGCAACATGCCGCGCTGCTCTACACTGACACTGAGTGCCTCTGCAGATGAAGGCGCTCTACTGAAACAAGACTTGCGATGCCGCTGGTGTTGTCTTGAAAAAGTTAGACCAGAACTCCTTTGAAGGCAGAGCGCCTCTGCAGATGTAGGCGCTCTACTGAAACAATCTGCAGATGAAGGCGCTCTACTGAAACAATCTGCAGATGAAGGCGCTCTACTGAAACAAGACTTGCGATGCCACTGGTGTTGTCTCGAAAAAGTGAGACCAGATCTCCCCCGTGACTGACTCGAAAGGAATTTCCGTGACAAATCAAAAACGGTTTCGTGTGCATGTGATGTTGAGCGTAATTTATTTTGTTGGTACCATACTTTTTTACAAACCTCTCATCAATTGGTAGTTAAATACCTGAATGAACACCAAAGATTGTGCTAATTCAACTAATATCGTTAACTATACTTGTTGGTTAGGGATTTCACATTACCTATTATTTGAGGCAGAAATAGTTTCAACGTCTTCGAACGCGTACCAGAAAGTTATTCAATTCACTTATACTAACAACAGAAACTTGCTCAAAACGCTACTGTATTCTTGATTGTCTAACTTTATTTGATGCTACCTTGAAAGTTTGCATGATGACAAGTTGACAACAAAGCCGACTGCAGTCTTTTTCAATTATTTGTGAAAAAAATGATAATAACGGCACCTTGTGTTGCGAATTGCTTGTCAAACTCCGCTCATGATGCAGACTTCAATTCTTGTTCCTTCCTTCCCACGATATGTTGAGTCCGTAACTTTAACAACTACTCGAAAATTTCCTCTCTCCCTATAGACCGAAGGAATTTCCCACGCAGCCCATTTCTAAAAGTTAGCTTCCTGTTCAGACTGATGCAACAACCTTCCAACCGACAGCTTTTCTTTAGCAAGCGATACATCTTGCGGCATCCTCGTTAATTACTCTGTCTTCCAGATCTCTGTGTTTAAACCTACAGCAAAATTTGTTTTACCTTTATTTGAAAGAAGCTATGTTTTCTAAAAATGCAAATTTTTTCACTTGTATGAAAGTTGTATTATGCGATCAAACACAGTCTATTAGTACTCTTATGTCTGTCAACGAACAAAGTATCCGTAAGCCTATTAAACCGGGTCAAAACGTATTTTATTTTACTTTGAAATTCCATCGAGCATCGCAGTATGATCAATGCTTCAATTTCGTTTGTAAGATTTTCTTAAATAAAAACTATGCGAAGAACTTGAGTTGATTTCGATGATTTCACAGACTATACCCGTAAATGAAAAAACGTCCACAACGTTTATCTTGCTTCAATTATTTCTAATAATTAATTACTCTGTCTTTCTAATTGAAATTGAGCGCAGTGATTTCTACAATTTATGTTTATGTTGGATTAACGGGTCCGTTATTCCTGGTACATTTGCTTTGAAGATAAAAAACAATTATTTTTTTTTTTGTTTCATATCATGTCTATTACTATGTAACTCTGACTAATTTTTTCAGTTTCTTCAATACAAATCACAGAGCATATTATTACCGTATTGATATCGGGATTAAAACAACGGTTTATTAATTGAAAAATATTAGTAAATCGTAAAATTTCTTCGAATTTTATTTTAAAGTTGAGTATTTATAAAATATAGTAGAATGAAAGATCCTTGAAAATCGAAGATTTTTGGAATGGATATGGAGCCGCACCCACCTCCTATGGTGACCCGACCCCATGTCAGCTCCACGTGTGGGGGGCTCACGCGCCCCCGATCTGTGGATGATCTGCTAAGAGGAAGTACAGATCAAAAGGAACAGGCTTGTGATCATCGAAGATCAGCCCTAGATGACCTCGCGGAGTCGGAAGTTTTTGTGGGTAAGATAATTTTTTTCCGTCGAGCATTATTGAAGATAATATAAAGCCTTTGGATTTGCAATTAGACTATTTAAATGATAATCACACTTAAACTCTGCTACAGCAGTGGCGTTGATAACTGAAATTAATTTGAATGCAGAGTTTCAATTATGTGGTCATGAAAGCTTTAGGCGGCAACACCGTTTCCGAGTCGTTATGAGTTGATAATTCATTGCCCTTTTCTTTCTATTATCCATTAATAAGTGCAAGCTTGTTTCTTCTTCATTGTAGTGCATTTTTTGATAAATAAACTGCTTACACAACTTCTTATGTATTCCAGGGAGCGAAGACGAAGAGGAAGGATTGGAGACCATAGCGTCTACGGCTGCAGTCGCTGCTCTGTCCTCCAGCAGTTATCACGACGACACTCGGCTGCCTCTGCGCGCAGTTAAAGAAGAGGTCGAGGCAGAGGCTGCCGAAGAAGCTGCAATGCGTCTCCAAATGACGGTATCTCGTCCTAGCAGAGCTGGGCCGTCTGGACCTGGAAATTTCGGCAGCTCCTCCAGTATTCCAGTCATGAGGGATTCCAGCACATCTCGTGACTCTGTGAACGCATATGTTGTGCGTAATGGAAGTGCACAATTCGCTGAAAGAATCTCTAAAGAGCGTAAGGAAAACGTAGCTGGTTACTATTTGAGTAAATGTGTTGATATTTCAGAAGAACACATGCCAAAGCATCCCTCCAAAATAATTAATGGTTCAAACGGTACTGGTATCAGTACCCCTTATAATGGCGAAGTTGATCTGACTGATGGAATCCCTAATTATGTGGACTATGTATCATCAGACGAGCTTGATAATATAGATCGCTCTCCATGCAGTGAAGGATCACCACTCTCAATTTCCCTAGCTTCATCTGTTGCCTCGAACATGTCCATCGATGACACTTCATCGTCACGTACCGACACCTCATCCTTCACTGACACCCAAGACACCGTCATTGTCACGAGCCTGAAAAATATCGCAAATAAATCGGCTCTTAAAAATTCTACCAATGGAAACCGCGCCAGCTCGTCGAAACCCCCATTAATTGTTAAAAGTCGTGCAAGCGAGTCAAACAAACCCTCGATTGCAGAACCAAACAAATCTGAAAGCAGGTTAATCAAAGCATCAGCAATATCACAACGATTTGATTCATCTTCAAAAATTCAACCGCGTGGAATCGCACGCACCGGCAAAAACAGTCCACGCCTGTCAGAAAAATCTCAACTTGACCTAAAACGGTCGGTGGGAAATTCTTCACATGATAGACGCCCTTGCCGAAATTCTGTTAATGCTGTCTCAAATGTGGCCTCACGCTCGAAAACGACGGAGTGCGAACTGAATAAAAAACCAAAGGCTGAGGTAAAATATGATTCTAACAGAGATTGTAAGCCGACTGATTATAGATTCGGGGCCCTAGAAAATAAGAAGATAGAGAACTCTCCGAGAGTCGATGCATATGAGAGCAACACGCTTGGGAGGAAGAAGAAAAAGCCTGATAAAGAAGTCAAGATCAATACTCACTCATGGCTGCTCAGCGATGGTCGGGAAGTGGAAAAGTATGGCACTATAGGCCGTAAAAAGAAAATACGTGAAGCGGGCGACGGCAAAGAGGAACCCCACACATCATTGAGCAAGGAAAGCAAAGATACTCTGGACACGTACGCGACTCTACCGCGACGTAAAGCTCGGGATATGACAGCGCGTTGGCGAGAACAAAACATGGTGCAAGGTTCGGACGCCTCTGTCGTAAATGTTCCTCGCATCAAAGTCTTGTGCTCAGATGAGAACGCCGAATTTAACCAAAAGCCTCTTCGTCGTTCCCGCTCGATAGGCAAAGGAGAAACGAGTCGCTGCGTTCAGTCTTCGTCGTCGCAATTGTGTCGATCTTCTGCCAGTTTTGCTCGATGCAGCCCTAGAGTGGTTCCTCGGGCAAGTCCTATTGCGTCCCCTCGTCTAGCGGTGGCAACTCAAACTCCTCGCAGTGAAAGGACTATAATATGCCTCGAGGTCTCCATACAGACGGCGCTCACAGGTCGAGAGGTCGCTGCTGCCATGCACGCCCTTGCAAAAGAGCGCTTCTCAGACGAACTTCACACGCATAGACAGAAAACGGAAATCATAAGAGAGTTGCCTCCACCTCAAAAGCCGCAAGAGACAAAAGTCAACTCAGCTGTACAGGTGATATTTTATGATCTTTCGTAGTTTCTAAGCTGTTAAACGGGACCGCATATTTGCGCAATTACTTCTATAGAACGTTATTTATTCTTATTGAAAATATTATCAATCGAGAATGCGAGACATACTTTCCATTTTTCATTGCATTAGGAAGTCAAAATGTTAACTATTGCTCTGTTATTGCAGGTGGACGCAGGTTGGGGGTCTTGTAATTGTGGTCTACGCCGAGAAGTAGCCCGGTCTGCCGAGGCTGAGGAACTGCACAGGCTACTGACGGAAGAACGTCTTGCTAAGGACGAGGTGCAAGGGGAACTCGATCGGACCAGTCAGAAGATCAAGGACATGCTTGCGTCTATGGAGGGCGTTGAGAAGGGTGAGTGAATAGAAATAGATTAGTAAATGATTAAACATAGAGGAATTTCTTTGAAAAAGAACATTTTACACTACGTAGTTGTAGCAGATGAGTAAATTTGTTCGAAATTCTAATAACAGCCGGAAACGGTACTACAATTACGAACAAATTGAGCTAGCGACCATCAGAAATGTTCACTATATACTGTAGGTATAAAATGAGCCCAAACTTGTTTATGAAATGTTCCATGGTAAGAAGTTATTAACGAATAATAATATGCATTTAAAAATTACTTTTTAAAGATAACACTTCTAAAGAATCCAGTGTCTCCGATGTTACACGTGTACAATGAATTTCTAATTTTGTTTTCATATATTAAAAAATATTTAATTTTTTAATTAAGCAAAATCAAATGTTCAAAATTATTTATTCTGTCAATTGATTCATGTGTTGTCTCCGACTTTACGCAAGTGTGCAAAATTTCAGATAGATTGGACAGGTAGAAGTGTGTTAAATATTGGTTATAAGATTTGTAGCAGACAGACAAGAAATGAAGTTAAAGGGAAGTGAGAAAACGCTCAAAACCGTCCCTTATTATCCAGTTTGACGTATTACTAAAAGTTTCCAGTTCGTTAAGCAAGTTCGTTGCCTAAAATATAATTGCTTTTAAATTCCGGCTTGCGAATTCCTGTCCAAATAAAAAGTCATACTGTAGTTGTCATATATTTGTCTTCTAATTTTTCCAGAATTCAACGAACGCTGCGATAGTCTCATGGTTCTCGAGAGTCAACTTCAGCATTCAACGCAGTTCAACACTCGATTGCAAGACAGATTGTCGAAGTGACAATGTATTTAAATTAGGCATTTATCTAATTTGGTGTAATATTTTTACGAACTGCCTAAATTAAAAATATAGGCTATTATATTCATGTCAATTTTCAGGAACTGACAATGTGCCAGGAGCGGGAACGTTTACTTCAGCAGCAAGTCGCCGAGCTCGAATCCGAGTCCCGTGAACTCGCCGAGTTTATGAGCTCCGAGAAAGAAGCGCTCACTGAGTGCCTGAGGGAGGCTGAGGCTGAGGGCAACCATCTGAGGCAGCTCTGTGAGGACCAAGAGGCGCAGATTCTCACCAGAGAACAGGAGGCTGCCACCCTCGTTAGACTAGCCGACGAGAGACGGTGAAGCTAGAAGATTTAGCTTCATTTCATTTAGTGAACATTAATTTTTTTCACAAGTTTGGTTTAGACTATTATCAGGTTATAAATGTTGAACGTTAATTACAGTTTCAACTGGGATTTTTTTCTTTTTAACCACTCATTAGAGATTGAATTATAGTTGCTACAATCGCCAGACTAATATAGAGACTGGTACGTTATTTTTCAAATCATTTTTTTAATAATACCTTCTGTTTGCTGATTGTTTGACCCGCTAAATCTATAAAAATGAATTTTCAGTAGAATTATCTTTTAGAAATCATTGATTTTCTAATTCTATTTCGGCTGCAGACGAGAAGTAGAGGCGCTGGAGTCGGAGCTGCAAGGTCTGCAAGGCCGCACCAGGGACATCATGGTGTGTCAGGGCGCTCAGGTCTCATCTGCCGCGGTCACGCTCTCCAACCTGGCTGTGCGTCTGCAGGCGCTCACATCACGCCTGCTGCACGACTACTGCGTCACCGAGACTGATCTCACGGTTAACTATTGTCACAGGCTGCAGTTGTGGTCAATAGGTTGAGTTGTGGTTAAAAGTTCAGTTGTAGTCAGTAGGTGGAGTTGTGGTCAATAGGTTGAGATGTGGTCAATAGGTTGAATTGTGGTGGTCACTGGTTTGAGTTGGTCAATGGATTGAGTTGTGGTCAATGGAACTGATAAGTTTATATCATGTTTCCACAGTCGGTATAATCGAGATTAGCTGTGATCATTTTTGGCGATAGTGATAATCTGTTGGGAGCTATGATCATCTGTAGAGTTGCGATAATAGGTTAGGCGTTTTGATTATCTGTAGGTGGTTGCGAAAATCTGCAGTGAGTTGCGATTATCTGTAGTGAGTTTTGGCGTGACTGTAGCACAGTGGTTAGCACAACTGTATGCGCAGTGATGAAGATACCGAGATGAGAGAAGCTAGCCGTGAGTTCGAGCCTCGAGGAGCTCAGCGCATTTCTCGGTGCCGCTGGTGCGCCGTCAAAGGTGGTGCTTCCAGCATGGCTTTAGATTGGTGTCCCTAAAGAAACTCGGGGTACTAGTTCCATGGGGGGATCTTTAGGAGGTCTTAGAGAGAGTTGTATCTTCTGAGACGTGTTATTAGTTATGCTCCTATTGTATTGTTGATAATGTTGTGATCAAGAGAAAGTGTTTCTCATTGAATGATTCAATCCTCCCGCATCCAATGTTTGAGTTCGTGTCGCTAAAGTTTTCATAAAAATGGACCGAAGCGTCTAACGTGCCTGCTTTAGTTAGATTAACAGCCAACCAGACGCAATAAGGTCTGCCTCTGGGTCAGCTAGTGTGCTCTAATAGATTAACGCTGTCAGTCGCGTCGTGCTGGTCAAGCCGCAAGGTACTTACACGAGTTGTCTGGAAATATATGCCCCGTGCTGATCTCGTCTCTGTTTGTTCCTCTCTGTAACTGCTCTGTCGAAATTTTCCTCAATCGACTTTTACTATTCAATTGACGATAGTTGGTGTATTTTAAAATGAAGCAAATGATCGTTTCTGAAGAACAAATTTCAATTGTTATAAATTTTAAACTAGATTTTATTCATCATGAGAACTCGCAAATTTGACTCTTCCTTTATGTGTCATGACGTAAGACTCATAAGTAAATACGCAGTATCGTTTTGCTGCACTCTGTTTGTTCTAGCGTTAACCATTTCCTTTTAAAAGTCGTGTCTAACTAGCCAATCATTGAGAACTAACTTTCTATGTTTGTAGTGTGCATAGTTGCATATGGTGTTTTGACGACCCCGAAAATATTATGAAAAATGTTCTCAAAATTTTATGTGTATTTTAATTGCCATATTCATTAAATTTCTATCAAATAATTTCCTTCGTTCTGCTGTGTGAACCATCCGTTGAAACGGTTGTAGTATTGGGCAATCAAGTTTAGGTTGACAAACATAGGTACTTATGAAATGTACAGTGAATTTTAGCCACAATAGTATGTGATTTAAGTCATTCCAATGGTGCGTCACTTTGCAGATTTTTTGTGAAATCGGAAGAAAAATCTTGCCAATTGTCTTATGGTATTTCAATATCTTACCATTTATATGTTTTGCTCCCTACATGTAATTTATATTTACGGTCAATTGTGTTCTGCCATCAGAATATCGTCACGCCATCAGAATCGGACAGCTCGAACTCCTCTTCCTCGACCACGTCTCCCGAGCACTGCCCCTCGTCTACCCTGACCCGCCCCCGTGTGTCCTCTCCTCGCAAGGGGCCTGCTTCCTTCATCCACGCCGTCCTTCACGCCCTTAGAGGAGGGCCCAATGCTAGGGGCTCCTCCGACAAGCAGGTGCTGAACTTGAGTCTTAAACTTTCTCTTCGAAAGAGATGGGAAATCTGGACTTTTCTAATAGTCTACGACTCTAGGATATCGTGAACGATTCATCTTAAAGAATATCTATTCAACCAACTGGAACAAATAAAAGGCCACTGCAATTTCATCATGAATTGAGTGCTCATGTGATAGAGAGATTTGTGAATAAAATCTATCAAGCTCGAGCTCGAGATTTGTCAATTTTCAGTTGGTGGTGGTGAGTTTTCCATTTAATTAATAAATTGCGTTCTTTGTGTTTGCCACCAAACATGCCACAAAAATTTAGGCGTGGTGATTTTTTACCATTCTAGCTTCTACGTGTCAACCATTGAGCATCATTTTTATTATCTAGTCAATGAATTGCGACTAATGTTTCGCTGTTTATGTTATACCCATTGTTTGCAAAACAGCTCTTGCTAACTTCTTTTTCATGTTTACAGCGAAACGATCCTAATCCACAAGATGGCTCCCAGGACAATGCCCTTGCGACTGAAACCAACGGTGAATCGTCGCCGTCGCTAGTGGACCAGGTAATTATATTGCTTGAAAAACTATATAATTTCTCTTCCTATTTTCATTATCGTAATACACTGAATCATCTCTTGACTTTAAGTTCAAAAATTTGGTTGTCATGATACAATTTTTTGTTTAACGATCAACCACTGACTTAGTTTTCCCTACTCAAAATGTTGGATGCTTTGAGAATGAATGTATAGAATTTCACGGTCATAAATGAATAACAATCTTCAACAGTGTGGGAGAATCGTTTCATAATTTTCATTATTGCGGTGGTTGAGGTAATTTACGCAGATGATAGTCCCCTGGTAATGTCGTTCGTATGTGTGCAGGTTGAAGAGGTTGACTTGTTACTATCCCGATTCTTGAAAGTTGTCTGCGTCCTCAAGAACGACTCCGATGCGACTCTTAACGAGCTTCAAGAGGAAAAGTACGTCGAAGCTATCGACTCAAGAGGAATAGGGCTGTCGAATTTCATCGCATTATCAAATATCTTATTATTTTATGAACATATAGGTTTATACTTGACCTCAATAAAGCCATGAAAGTTGAACGATTTTATCATGTGGATGAGAATCCTTGTTACTGCTAAAATGTAATAAATATGATGCTGCAAACCAAGATGATTCATGCATGCGGTTGGTTCATGCATGTTTCGTAAGTGCTGACGTTTCTATGTTGTTGCAGTGAGCGGCTGAGTCAGGAAGTGCGCAGTCAGCAGCAGCTGATCGAACAGCAGCAAGCTGACAACGAGGTGCTCGCCAGGCTCGAGACGCGCGCTCAGAGGGACCTCAAGGCGCTGTACAAAGCTACCGAGAAGGTGAAATTTCCCATTTCCCATGAAATTTCATTCTCAAATTTCCCCTAAGGAAAAATGCCTAGAGATGATTTCTCATAAAATTTTGTAATTGTCAGAAACAATGTCGCAACTCGTCGAGATTGTTTCCTCAAAGTTATCGCATTATCACGATTCACTAATGATACTTACAATGTTGTTACAATGTTTTGTATCTTGTTAATGTTTATAACTTTCAATATTTTTCTCTAAATCTTATCAGAAATTTGAGTCTGTTTTGATTTTTATCAGTTGAATATTCATGAAATTCTTTCCTTTAGTTGCAAGGGAGTGCGGATACCTCGTCTTCAGAAGGCGTCGCATCCACGAACGTCACTTCAGCGATGCTGCTGAAGGCTGCGTTGCAGGTATTATGCGGCTATATATCTATTAAACTTATTTGTAGAACGTTATAAGTTGTACATCTCGTTGGAAAGATCAAATATAACGATGATATTTGATTTGATACCTGAAGGCCATTCAAAAAATATGAGCATCAGTATTCAAGATAAATATTAGTCAAATCTTTATTATTTAATTCGTAGCATGTTTTCCAAATCTTATTACTTAACTTTGAAAATTGCATTCGAGCCATAACTCGATCATTACTTTCCAGACTCTGGAAGATTTGCCCGAGTTGGTGTCAAACCAGCCGCGACTGAAGCACCTGCTCAATAGTCTCCGCGCTCACTCTTCCCCCACGACCAAACCTCCACATTCGATCTGCTCATCAGCGAGCGGTGTTCTCGAGCTACGGATCAACGACTGCGACTCAAATAAAAGCGTTGATACGAAGAAAGTAAACGAGGCGATTTATGCGATCAGTGATAGAGATTCAAAATCTTGTGTTCAATCAAACGACGCCGTTCTGAAAGAACAAAAATCTGTCGATCACGAATCTCCGTTGAATGGAAGTGTGACCTCGCACCCTGACACATTAAACATCAATGTTAGTTTAGAAAATGGTACATCACGTACGAATTGTGTTCGAGAATATTTTGATCTTAACGCTAACCCTCCTTCCGATCCATCACAGTTGATAAGTAGCGATGTGACTGACAAACAAAATCCACCTGCTGAAAATAAACTGGTCTTGAGTCCTCTAATAGAGAATCCTTCTAATGGAATAACACCTCCTCGTAAACTTTCCCCTCCTAATGGACACACTTCACCTTTGCCTCAAAGGTCAGCTCTTAATTTGGCTCCTCAATTTTTGATTCAGGCGGAGACGCATCTGTAGGTAATGTCTGCTCCACTTATAAGGAAGCAATATTGTGCGACATTGCCGCCGCTGCAGGCCACACTTTTCATTGCAATTCTGCATCGCAAATAGAACCAAATACTTGGCATTTGAACGCCAAAATACAAATGTTGAAAATTTTATGCATTTAGCATTAGAAAAATTACATACAATTGTTGGACAGTTTTATGCTTACATAATTTTGTGGACGGATCTTGAATTTGGCGACTGGTTGAAATTTTGTGTCGGTGACTTGCAGTGTTCCTGTTGTGCGCTGCCAGCACATAATAAATATCGTGTACTGGTCCTACAAATCTACCAGCACTGCTACGTTGATAATCTACAGGAAACGATATGACATTCTGTCCCGCAGAACAGTAAAAAAATGCATAATTTTTTCTTTTCAAGCATAATGCGGTAACGGTCGTGCTCTCATTGGATATAATTTTATACGATACTCTACACTTTGATTTGAAGTGAACCTATTATCATTATGTAATCTACTAAGGAATCTCGAGCTGCAGTTATGATTGCCGATTTACATAAAAATAATGTCCTGCGTAATGATGAATGAACCCTCAATTCTCATGAAGCTTGAGATGCTAATTCGAATCACCTGAAGTCTATTTGCATCTTACAGGTTATGCCTCATGGATTTTCTTATTATAAAATTACAGAATATATAAATGTATAATTGTTCGTCTAAGCGCATTATCCATGTCTTAGAACCCTTTTGTGTTTCGAGTTAGTGCTCCTCTTCCTTGTAGTGCGGATAAACATTCCGAACGATTGTTTCGCAAATATTCAGCTAACTTGTATTCTATATCGAGGAATTTAACAAATTTTTCTTCAGTGTAGTCTTCATGTAGTTTAGAATTTACTCGTGGTAAGTGTTCACAATGATATTCGAATTAGAAATGACTTAATTGTCTATAGGAACATGGAAGTTTACACTGTCAAACTTTGAATCATTTGTCAAACTTCTCATTTTGTTAAAACTTTGCATCAAATCTTGATGTATTCAATTATATGTATGGAAAATCTGATTATCGTTCAAGCTAATATGAAAGTTTGTAGCTACTTAGTCGTTAATTAGTAAAATGAGTAACTATGGATAAGTGTATACTTTTGCTCTGCTCACAACGTTGCCAGAACTTATCCGAACTCTGTGATTGGTTGTCGCCTTCGCTAATAGCCATAAGTTAATCCATTGACCAAGTGATCCATGTTGAGTAGTGGGATGTAATGTAAAGTGATGACTGAAACGAATATTTTGGTTGTCTTGTCACTATTGCTCATGATTGTCTTCTGCGTCAGAATGTTATCTTTAGCAGCTTGCAATCGTTGGTTTGGTTTCTATTTTCGCATTGCAAAACTCGCAAACTGGACAATATATGTATTTGTTGAGTGAAATTGAAAGGGAGATTTTACTGTCCATTCATTTGTTATTATTTATCGACTCGTATAGCAACTGCTCTGGTAGACGCTTAGCAGCTCGGTTGCTGCAACTATGACAGCGTTTATGCTGAATTTCGTTTTCTGAAGCTTTAGTTCACCAAAGAAAATTGATCTAAGTACCATTCGTTACTTCTTATTTTTATCCTTTGGTTGTGATTTTATGATTCTTGGAATAATTTGAATTTTTGTTCGATAATGTGCACTAAGAATGGAAGTGATATATAATAGTTTGTTTCATTAACAACCTTTGGCTGCATTTTAAGTCTGATCTGAAAGTTCCCGTCTTCTTGGTTTACCAAATTTATAGCTGACTATGAAGGTTATCAAAAGATTTACCTATCTCCTGTGCATCATGAGCTTGCCTGATATGTCTCGTGCTTAAACTTGAATATTTTTTCCAACTTTGACTAAGATTGAAGTTTACCGTTCAAAAAGAAAATAATCAATTGTTAAGTATGAAGTCGCACTATGTATTTTCATGCAGAAACCATGTCTGTGAATACGTCAAATGAGAACACAGGTGCAGAAAACTGCGGATCTGATTTTCTTTATTATCTCGGATACACCTTTTCATGGTTTAATTAATACATAGTTCAACTATAACATCTCCTCACACCTCTTTATTTCACTGTGAACTGTTAATTAACTCATCGCTAGAATGGCCATGGGAGGTGTGACTTCTTCACACCCGAAATCTTAAAATCAATGAAAAAATCTTTACTAGAAAATATATTCAGTCGACTGCATTGCACAGTGTTGCTAGGTGCTCAGTGTGGTTTATCTTCACGTGAGCGAAGACTGCATTAGAGACTATCTATGAACAATGATTCGTTACATAACTTACAACCATGTTAGACCAGCTACATTTCTGCATCATGAAGTGCGTTGTCAGTGACCTGCTGTTTTCTATGAATTCAGATGGATTTCCCACTTCTAACAAATGAAAGAAATAGCTCTTAAACACTAATTAACTTTTCTCCCCGTGTCGTGTAGTAACCTAACTAACCTGGCCTAAGTCGTTCGGACTAATTTGTGTGTGCGCTGAAGTGAGACCTATCGAAACCTAATCGTTTTTTTTTAAGATGCTCAATAAGCTGGGTAAGAAAACCTATCCAAATTCTCGAGGTTTTATCAAGTACATCATCGACGACCAAACGAACTCATCGGGCAGCTGAAACACTTGATGAGTAAGTATTGAACTGAGCCAGTAAGGCGATTTTATTTCATGTAGTCGAAATTTCAAGGGATTTTAACTGTTATTACAATTAAGGTTTAAAATCTGGGCAACATGTCGTTCGTGAACTGTAGGGATCGTGCCGTGATCCTGGGAACGATTCAAATTATTATCGTCAGCATAGGTCATACCAGAGCAAATCTATTCAGAAGTTTATTTATTTTCATTTACTGCTTCACAAATATGAAATTATGTCAATATGATAAATCAATTCATATGGCTTCCAGTGAATTTGAATTTATTTCCGTTATTTATTTATTTATTTCAATTCACAAATAACAACGGAGTACCGTCACATCGTACCTGAGTCGTAGTCCAATAACAGGAATTTTTATATAGTCTACCTGTATTGACGCATCAAATTGTACAGCAGCAGCATAAGTAGAAGCTCCAGCATGCCCCAGTCGAATGTAAAAAGTAACCGTGACCGAAAAGCACACTGCGTTACTTATAACAAGAGGTCTGTTAGACAATGGTTTGAGGTAACACTAGGCCTAGGTTCCCTAATATACATTTTTATTCTTCGCTTCATCCGTGATATTGGTTAGAAGCAAAAATATTCGGCAGCAACCTTATCATAACGTCATTTAGATAATATATAAGCCTAACAACCTCGCCTAATCAATGAAGCCAGTCTGACGGAACACGTTTATCCAAATTCAATTAAATGCGGTGACTTGGTCACAGGTAGCTGCGCTAATTGCAAGTGTACTGCCAATGGCAGAAGTTCCTTACCTTATAATCTGGCCATGGTGCTTTTGGCCCATGTTTATTTCTTGCCTTCCCAGACGCCTTAGTAATCATATAAATTTGCGTTTGTTACATAATATGCGAGTCGTGCATCTATTGAAGGGGATCGCTTCCGTTCACGCTAATTCTGTTCCTTGAAAACTTCATTTTCCTGTTTTTGTCGTCGTTTCCTATTCTTTGTTAATTTGTACGGATGATTACGCCTCCATCTTTATCTTAAATTTGATTCTGGTTCATAAGGATAATTTTTCTTATAAATAAAAATTTCTCTTCACTTCATGCCGTACAGGTCGAATTTTTTATATCGTTAATCAGTACTGTGGCAAACGTTTTCACTTCATCCAAGTAGCCTTCGATTCGCGAAACGTCTTAGAATGGAACGTGGGCGTTTAAAAATTTATTTCAAGCTTTCATTTGTGATTTTTGGACGTCAAAAATTCTTTGATTACAGTTATTCCATGAAAATTAAAAACATTTTGCTCAGTTCAATTTCTCTCAAATGAACGAAACGCCTACAGCATGCTTGCCTAAAATCTGATTTGGCCTTGTTTTGGTTCACCTTTTTTGTCCGTTAATTTTATATAGTCACATTTTACTGAAATTTCTATGTTTCTTCAACATTATATTGATTAAAGCGGTTACTCGACTGTACTTTGTGCGTATCGAGTAAGCATGAGGTTGACCGCACAGTAAGCCAGCGTTGATACGCCTGCTTGCTACACCGCAATCGGAACTTCTTTACGGGCGCTCCTGAGGTCATAGACAAGTTTTTCCGAAGCCAGCACTGATGGCTCGTGGGCTTGTAGTAATGCTTTCGGCTGCCTTATTGCAGCTACCCAATTAATAAAACCCGACAAATTTTCCTCGGTTACAATGAGGACATCATCGCTTCATGGCATGATCGTTCTGGTCGTTAGTGTTCCAATTAAATGCGGTGATGAAATTTTATCAAAAATATTCTAATTAATTTCGAAGAAATAGGTGATGTTTGTTGCGAATTTGCCTGCAACTCGTATGAGATCCAAAGTTTCGTGAAATATGTTCCACTACGCAGCAGTTATATACTTGAAACTTATTTTTTATTAGCCAATATTCAATGCAAATATTTTTTGTTTGAAAAAATTGCCGTAAAAATGTTGCATGTGACTCTTTTTCTATTTTAAAGCAGCAAGCAATCACCATGGGTTGTCATTCTCTTCGGGGCTTACCTAACAATTCAACAATTTTCCCCTAAGGTAAATCATGTTAAGTAAATTAAATTGTTCCAACAAGTAAGTCTCACCATGTAATAATTTCAACCTAAGTTTTGTAAATTAGCTTCAACAAAAAGGTCATACATTCACCATTGAATCTAACAAGCATAACTCATCAATCTTACCTCGTACATATACCTTTACCACATATAAAAGCGCGAACTTCCTATTAACCACGCTGGCATATACACGCACACACACACATACATTCATCCATCAATAGAGCTCCCGGGTCGTAGAGATTTACCTGTACAATTGTTCCCTGCATCACCACAAAAATTTATCCTTTGATCGCACGACACGGTCGTTTTACCTGTGCGGTCACCGAATTTCACGCCTTTTTGAACAATTGGCTGTGGTGCGTGTCTATTCCAGAAGCGGCACAACACACTCGAACAAGGAGCAGATTTATCCACATATTTGTGCATGTGTGTTTAACAATGTTAGGATGTTACGTTGCCTCAGGTAAAACTGATCTTATTCCGTATAGAAAATATTGTCTACACTTTCTTTATGAAACGGATTTTGAGTAAAAAATATTCCAGTTAGAAGTGATAAAAATTACGTAATACTCTAGAGGGTGTCTACTTAAATGAATTCGTCTTTTAAACGTAACTTGAACGCTTAAAATAAACTTCGACAGCCATTTAGTTTTAAGGCTACCCGAAATTAGTTTTTCCTAACAGCATTTGAAAATAGTAAGACTATATGTTAGGTAGTTCAGGACAACTAAGCTTAGGAAAGAGACATGCTAAGTTCTATGTTTGAGCAGTGGTGCGTTTTTTTATCAATGTTTAGTGGTGCAACTACTGCTGAATTGATTAGTGAATGTACACGTTGGGTATGTATGGGAAGAGACTAGTACAGAGACGTCTTCTTATATTTTTAATGTCCTTGATACTGATTCCTTGTAAATTTCCAATTATACGACATATACGACATAATACGACATATACGACATAATACGACATAATCTCGAGTCAATGACTCCTATCATCGATATATTTTCTTCATTTTCTCAATTTACTCACTTATATTAGTCAGGTTGAATTGTCCATCGGTATAACCGATATATTTCTCCCTGTTCTTTCGTCTCATTTGATTCGATCAGTTTTGCAATTACAGGACCTAAAATATATACTGGAGTATATCCCTAACCAAAGTATAAAAATTATGCTGATTCAGACTTCATTTTCATATGGGTTTGGTACGAAATTAGGCGATCTTACTTACTCACACACATTTTCGTTCGTTTCAAACAATTTTTGTATAAAATTGGTTTATTTTTGTATAAAATTGTTTCGAATTGTTACAAAACTGATATTCAAATTAAAATACAGTATTTATTTATCTTAGATACTTGATAGAAACGTTTATTTTCAACTAAAAGATTGTTAATTAAGCCGCTGTAAGATTAGTTTCCATCATTCTATCTCTATTGAATGGAATGCAAACATTTCTTTGGACAAAATTTTGAAGAGATGCAGGGTCGAAACTCGGAAAATCCAACTTGCCAATATGGCGGCTTCCTAAACTACGTGACGAAGAAAAATTGAGTGAAACCTTTAGATCATTCAGTTTGTTCTAAACAGATGGTTTAAATACCGTAGGGTATTATATTTTGTCCAAAAGAAAAGTCAACAGCTATTAACAAAATTCTACAGAGTTTTGTTGAGGATGACACAGGAGATTAGTCTTATATTGTAGCTTCCATAACTGAACAGCGGTCATGTGGATAATTAATTAATTTATTTCAATGGCACTCCTACCGTCGAAAAATTAACTGTATGACCCTATAAGGACGATTTAAGACTTCCTTAGGTACACGTGGTGGCTTATTTCTCGTCCACGATCGTTGGGTTTAGCTTGAAAAGCTGTCAATTATTGGAAGACGGAGTTAGGAATTTGAAACTATTTAATATAGCACGGCCCCCAGTATACGGGGCCTCTATAGTGGCCACCACTGCAGCTTTCAAACACTGACCGCCACTAGTTACGAGCTACTGCTTTATGCATACGGGCTACTGACACTGGAAAGGCAGAGTGCCCGACACGTCAGTATCATAAAACTAATTGGCGGTTAAAATTTGAAAGTTGTAGTGGCCGCCATTACTGACCCCGCGTATTATTAAAGGCCGTTTGGAGGGCGCAATTTGATGGCTCCACTTCACTATTGAGTGCATGTGCTCTTCAGCGTATTTGAGCAACTTATAAGTAAATATTTTTATCAATCTGTGATCTTGATCATTCGGCTACTTTACGCATCTTAATTAGTGTCTTGGGGTATCATGTTTAAATATATCTGACACAGATTCATGCCTCAAGTTTTTAACGTTTTTTTTTTTGAACGGAAAGTGCAATTCGTATATCTACATGTAGAAATAGTGCATGGTAGCATATGATACAGCCTCGTACAGGAGTTGTGTAGTTAATTGAGAGTGCGATAGCAAACTACATATGTACCGGCCGAGAGGATGGTGTTCTCCATGTATGGTAAAATGTATGGTGTTCTCCAGGAAAACCGTTGTCATGAAAGGAGCTCCTGTTCACGAAAACGTTGACGGGGCCAATATTGCTCGTCTTGATCTTGATCGGCTTGTATATGCCGCAATTGTTTTTTACTGGCAAGTAGGCTTACACATGAAGTAAGTATTAGCAGCCATTATTTTCTCGATCGACGCCGGCAGTGTGTCCTTAGAAGCCGATGTGAAGTCTGTGCTCAGCCATCTGCCCCACCCCAGCTTGTTTTTGACGAAATTACCTTCAAAAACTCGTATCTGTACATTCGCTTTATACTCTTAATTCTGGCCCTTAAAATGCAACCTAGGAAAAAACTAAACCCTGATTAATAGTGACTTCTATCAGTTTCAAAACATTAGTTCGTCCCTTCATTTAATAGGTTTAATCGGCACGGCGAACATTCCACATTATTTCCTAATTTTGGGATATT